CCCGGCTGATTTTTTTTTTTTTTTTGGATTTATTGTAGAGATGAGGTCTCGCTGCCCAGGCGGGTCTCGAACCCGCGGGCTCAGGCAATCCACTCACCTCAACCTCCCAAAGGCGTGGGATTACAGGCTGAGCCACCAAGCCCGGCTTATTATTATTATTTTTTGAGTTAGTCTCACTTTGTTGCCCAGGCTGGAGTGCAGTGGCACGCTCATGGCCACTCCAGCATCAGCCTGCTGGGCTCAGGCGATCCTTCTGCCTCAGCTTCCAAGTAGCCTGAATTACCGGCACGTGCTACTGTGCTCTATATTGTAGAGACAAGGTCTCACCAAGTTGCCTAGGCTGATCTCAAACCCCTGGGCTCAAGCAGTCCTCTCACCTTGGCCTCCCAAAATGCTAGGATTACAGGTTTGAGGCACCATGCCCAGCCAAAACCTGTCACTTCTATTACATATCTCTCAGTTCTAGGTTGTAACCTGAATCCTTCTTCCAACTACACAGGGATAGAATTTTGACACAGATGTTTATAAACTTGAGTTCCCACCCTCTAAATAAAAGGAGGAACGACAATTGGATTTAGTAACAAATATCAAGGTAAAATTGCTGGGTTTTGTTTCTCAGAAAAATGGACCCAGAATCTATAAAAGTAAAGTGCAAGTTTAATTGAATTTTTAAAGTGTTACTTCTGGCTGGGCTCCATGGCTCAGCCTGTTATCCCAGCACTTTAAGAGGCAAAGGCGAGTGGATTGCCTGAGTCCACGGGTTCAAGACCAGCCCGGACAACTTGGTGAGACCTTGTCTCTACAATAAATAAAAAATTAGTTGGGCGTGGTAGCACACGCCTGTGGTTCTGGCCACTCAGAATGCTGAGGCGAAAGGATTACCAGAGCCCAGCAGGTTGACGCTGGGGTGGTCGTGAGCATGCAATTGCACTTCAGTCTGGGCAAGGAGTGAGACTTCAACTCAAAAAAAAAAAAAAAAAAAGTGTTACTTTTAGGCTGGGTATGGTGGTTTATGCCTATAATCCCAGAGCTTTGGGAGGCTGAAATAGGAGGATCACTTGAGGCCGGGGTTCAAGACCAGCCTGAGCAGTATAGCAAGGCCCCTGTGTCTACAAAAAAAATTTTTTTTAATTAGCAAGGTGTGGTGGCACATGCCTGTAATAATAGCTACTTGGGAGATTGAGGCAGAAAGATCACTTGAGCCCAGGAGTTCCGAGGCTGCAGTGAGCCATGATGGTGCCACTGCAGTCCAGCCGTGTCTCTAAAAAAAAAAAAAGAAAAGAAGTATTTATGGGTCTCTGGATTAGCTGCTTTTCATTACTCTGACTTCAGAATTAGTGTACAGTTTGTGTCTGTCACACAGCTTAATGTTCTCATGCAGGTTTGAAGGCCCAGCTACTTATAATTCTTTAATCTAAATTATTATTTGAGACATAAATTGGGGCAGAAGTCTGTGTTTCTGTTCCAAGCATAGTTAGCATTGTGGCCCTTAGTAACTTCTGAGAATTAGAATGGGAATATTTAAATCTCTGAAAACGATGGGTTGGGTAAATGCTGCTTGCAGAAAATGATTGCCATCTGGTATCTATTGACTGTCAGTGGTGTTGGTGGATGCTGCCTGACTGCTGGCATCTGGAGGTAGCAAGCCTGAGCACCTTTGTTTCTGCTGAAGAATGAGTTTTAAGTTGGAGGCAGCAAGTACTAGAAACTGCGGTGGTGGGAATCTTAGACTTTGGGCAGAACTGAGACTGACTGAAGTGATATTACTGCACTAACCCGCTCCCCTCCCAGTCAGTGCATGGCACTGTTCTGGCTGCCATCCTGAATCGTGCTGTTTCCAACAGAATTGGTGGAGCACGAGGCCTCCTATCCCATAGCTGCATCCAGAACAAGGTCTGTCAAAGAGAATAACTTGCTGATCGCAGAGGGGCCATTTGTTCTGAGCAGCCCTTCAGAATGACAAGAAGCCCCTGTTCTCCACATTTGCACTGGCTGTTTTTTCTTTTGGCCACAGTTTGGAAAGAATTGACTTGATCTCCAAAGTCCTTTGCAATTTGGGACTAAATTACTGCCAAGAATATTGCTTTTCCTAAACTGCTTTTAAAGACTTCAGACACTTTCGTCAGTAAGGGTCCCTGGGTTTGGTGATTCATGAAACTGTATCTTCTCTTAGCAGTTCCTCCATGTTGGTCATTTCCTGAAAGTGTGGATGTGGCCTATTTGTAGGAATGCTTAAAGGCCTTTAGGCAAATGCTGTATTTTTCCTAACAAATAGATAATCCTCTATAAAGAATTGTAAGCGGCCGGGCTTGGCGGGTCACACCTGTAATCAAGCACTTTGGGAGGCAGGGGCAAGACAACTGCCTGAGCCCGGGGATTCGAGACCAGTCTAGGCAACTTGGTGAGACCTCCTCTCTACAATAAGTTAAAAAAATTAGCCAGGCATGGTGGTGCACACCTGTAGTTCCAGCTACTTGGAAGGCTGAAGCAGAAGGATCGCCTAAACCCAGCAGATCGAGGTTGCGGTGGCCGTGAGCATGCCACTGCATTCCAGCCTGGGTGACAGTGAGACTCTGACTCAAAAAAAAAAGAATTGTAAGCTACATGGCAGGATGAAATGCTGATCATTGCATTACATGTGAACGCAAGAAACTGGTACTGTTGCAAGATCTCTCTAATCCTTGTTGATGAGAGACCTTGGTCAGGTAGTTTTCTTCTCCACAGTAGACATGGATTCACCCTTATAGGAAAAAAATGGGAGTGGGTTGAAATCTAGAAGGTCTATAACTTCCAGAGCAACTGAAGATGAAGCAGATGAGCCAGGTATGATTTGTGTAGCTGATACAGAGAGCCCTCTGGTGACACCTGCAAAAATTGCTGCAGGAACAAATGGACAGAAGATTGCTGTGGTTTTTAAGCTCCGGAGCTGCTCAGGCCTCAGGTGGCCCTGAGTAAATCAGTGAAAGGTGGATAAGATGCCTCCCACATCCACATAACTGAGGCTTTGCTTTATATTTGACTTGGAAATGTTGGCAGGTTTTAAATCATTACAATTAATAACAGTCTTAGCGAGAAGATGTGGAAACTTTCCATTTTTGTGTTTTGGGGCAAGGACAGTTTTGGAGACAAGTAGGAGAGCGTCTGGTCTGCTGCTGGTGTAAGTAGAAAGTATTAAGTCTCCGAAGACTCCAGTTTCTAGTTGTCATCTGTAGTAAAACTTCAACTACTTTTGGGAGGGGATCGCTGAAATGGGGTCACAGGAGTGTGTGCATGTGTGTGTCTTGTGAGAACTCGTTTACTTTCATTTAGGGAGGATAAACAGCGTCAGCGAGTCCTCACAAATCATTTACATCTGTTTCCTCAAGGAAAAAGGATGCACGTGCAGTTGTCCACAAGCCGGCTTCGGACTGCCCCTGGGATGGGAGACCAGAGTGGCTGCTACCGGTGTGGAAAAGAGGGGCACTGGTCCAAAGAGTGCCCAGTAGATCGCACGGGTCGTGTGGCAGACTTTACCGAGCAGTATAATGAACAGTATGGAGCGGTCCGCACGCCGTACACCATGGGCTATGGGGAGTCCATGTATTACAATGACGCCTACGGAGCACTCGACTACTACAAGCGCTACCGGGTCCGCTCTTATGAGGCGGTGGCGGCAGCGGCAGCAGCTTCTGCGTACAACTACGCCGAGCAGACCATGTCCCATCTGCCTCAAGTCCAAAGCACAGCTGTGACCAGCCACCTCAACTCCACTTCTGTGGATCCCTACGACAGACACCTGTTGCCGAACTCTGGTGCGGCTGCCACCTCAGCTGCTATGGCTGCCGCCGCTGCCACCACATCGTCCTATTACGGAAGGGACAGGAGCCCACTGCGCCGAGCTGCAGCCGTGCTTCCCACTGTGGGAGAGGGCTACGGTTATGGGCCAGAGAGTGAGTTATCTCAGGCTTCAGCAGCTGCACGGAATTCTCTGTATGACATGGCCCGGTATGAGCGGGAGCAGTATGTGGACCGAGCGCGGTACTCAGCCTTTTAAAAACTGGAGGTGAGAGTGGGGTGGGTGTAGTTAAGAGATCCCACTTAGTTCCCTTGAGAGAGACCCATGCTTCATAGAGGAGGCTAGCGCCACCTGTTTGCTGTTGGGCAGTATCCAGAAGATGCAAACTACATGTTAGTCTTTAGGGCTAGAAGTTCATTTGGCCTGTTGAGGTTTTAATGTGACTCCCACAACTTGTTCCTTCTGGGATAACATCAGACTCGCTTTTAGTGAGAATATCATTCTTTAATCAGTTGTAACTTGTTTTGAGTTACAGAAAAACATTTCAGAGAACCCTTGTGACGTGCTATATTACATCATCTACACAATAAGCTTTTGAGATGTTTTCTCTTTTACAGAGAAAGGAGCTAAGGCTCAGGGAAGTTATGTGTTCCGCTGAAGTCATTTGGTAAATGAAAGGTAGAGTCAAAATTCAAACTCAGGCCTGTCTGACTCCAAAACCCATGCTCTTTCCACTATAAAAGTACTGTAGTGTTAAGCGGAAGGCTACAGGTTCCGGTACTAGTATGAATATCACAGGGAGAATTTCAATATAACTTTTAGGCCTCCGGTTTGCTAATAAAACTACTACTCGGGTCACTGTTCTCTGTCAAAGGAAACACTTCCAATATCAAATCCACATGCCAGATAAAGTCCTATAAATTTTAAATGTTTACATTTTAATGTTCTGTCCCATGGAGTCCTTTCCTTATTAGTAATTCAGCATCTTGTTCCAGATGGGTACTTAAGCCCTATTTTTCATAGCCTGTGATGCTGTCATTTAGAGCCTGATACTTTGTTTTTTCCAGCAATTTTTGGTTTTTGTTTGTTTGCTTAGGAGGAACATTGAAGGAATTAGATAAACTGGTAATTTCCTCATATGTATAGGTGATGAAAACCAATGTCATAGGCTCTGAAAATTCAGTGCTTCAGGAAATGCATACCAAAGGTGTTTGAATGGCCAGAATAACTAGGAATATCTAGAGAAGGATGAATCTCTTCATCTGAGTGGAAGTGGCATGACAACTATATCCTCATGGATTTCCTTGTCCCTTGAAACTGAACATTAATCGAATTGGGGGCCTAGTAACAAGGTTAAACTGAGTTACCATTGAGTTTCCAAGTATTCCTAACTTACCCTTTGGCACATGTGTAGAAGAAAAATCAGTCAGGCATGGTGGTGCTTGTCTATAATCCCAGCTACTTGGGAGGCTGAGGCAGGAGGGTTGTCTGAAGCCAGGAGTTCAAAGCTGCAGTGAGCTACAGTGGTGCCACTGCACTCCAGCCTGGGTGACAGAGTAAGACCCTGTTTCAGTAAATAAAAGAAAAAGCCATAGGAATTTTCTTTTATGTAATTGATAAGTAAATATGGTGTGAACCTGTGATAAGGTATTCTATATGACCATGTCAGCAAGACTTGGAACCTCCTGAGACCATTGTGCAGCAAGTCTGGTTCATGTGTGTGAAGTGGATGATCTTACAACTTGTAGAGTCTACCATTACATTTTTGCTTTTAATGCAGCTGGATCTACCACGAGGTAGGATATGCCTCTGAAGTAAGCTGGTATAAGTCTGTCAGATAACCTGTTTCTCTCAAGAGTGTTTCCAAGTTAAATATTTAGTATATTGTGGTCTTTAAAAGGTATTGCTAAGACGTTTTAAAGTGAATTTTGACTGCAAGCAGTGGTTGTTCAACTAACCTCTTTTAGTGATGACTCTTAAAGAAACTTACCTTCCAGGTGTGAACCTCAAATGGACTGAATAACCCTGAGTTGGTTGCAGTCCCAGGAGCCTGATGTTAATGAGGCTGCCAGGATGAAATACTCCAGAGCTGTTGGGGCTCCAAATTCGGGTCTCACCCTAGCAGAACTGATCCAGAACGTCACAACTTTTGAAGTCGATTGGCACAGATCAAGACCAAGATTTGGCCCTTTGTCTGTAATAAGTAGAGGAACTTGGTGTGAGTTAACTTTTTTATTCCCCCAGCCATTGATGTCTGGAGTTCCCATCATCAGTAGAAGAATTAGAGATATTCTAGGAGTGATTTCTTCTTTTGATTTGGTGAGGGAGATATGGTCAATTAGGGGAACTACTGGAACTGTGGCCTGTAGCTATGTTGAAGGTGGCTGAAGGGCCGGCTGCTCCTTGATACCCTTCCCTTTGTGACTGTCATTTCTGAAAGCGTGTCTGCTAGGAAAGATGAAAATGAAACACATTTAGAACAGTGCGATTGGCCTTTTAGGAGATCTTGGCATCTTCCACTTTTCCTGGACCCAAAAATTAAATTTCCGTTCTTGATCATGTATATATGCCCTTTGTTTGCAGCAACAGTAGCCTTCTGTCACCAGGTTATCTTGCCTAAATGATGGATAAGAAAATGAGAAAGATGTATTTATCCTACCAACCCGGCAGTCTTCCAGCTAGATTGCATCTTGTCCTATATATAAGTAGATTTCTATGTGTAGCTATTGGTAGACTCCTAGATAATTAATTACGTGGGATATAAATTTGATCCAGTCTGACTTGGTTTTGTTGTGTTCTTTGTTTTTTTTTTTCCCCCTGGAATACAGGACGGGACCAGGGCCCTTGTACTCGGAGCCAAGCTGCTCTCCAGGCATTGTGTAAGCCTCTTGTGTTGTGCTCTCTTTCAGGTAGGATAATTGCGGACTGAACCCTCGGGCTGCGGTCATATATGAGAACTTGCTCCGCGCGGTCCCCTTTGCCGGGATGTTTCCATTGCTTCATGTTTCAGTAAACAAAGGAGTTTGTGACCAACTATGTTTTCTTTCTTAATTTAATTCTTCTAAGTTGACTTTTCTTTCCTCCTGATAATAGTCTCTGTAGCCTTTCACTCTGTTCCTTATATTCTCAGCCTCTGAGCAGCCCTAGGTAAGGATTATGCTGGCATCCCCTTTTTCCTGTGCAGTGGAAGCCCTCTTATCTTGCTTTCCCTAGGAGTTGAACCCTTCTCCCTACCTGCAGCATCTCCTTTCCCTTTAAAAAGAACATGTAGTGGCAAGCAGCCTTTGACTCTTCTCTGTTAGCTCTGGACTCTAACACTGAAGCTTATCTTCTGAAATTGCTAGGACCATTGGGGGTTTTGTTGTTGTTTTGTTTGTTTTGTTTTTTATGTCTGACCTGTGATCGTGGTGCAGCATTAGCTGAAATTTAGCCTTGTTTACTCCACTCCTCCCATTTTTTTATTTTTTGACAAATAAACGTTTCTAACACTTAAATATCTTTTTGTGTTTGTGTGACTGTTATTTATCACCAGTGTCTTCTGATTCTTTCCTAGTTGTGATCAAGCTAAGAAATTCAAATAAATGGATATTTGAAATTGAGATGTAGCCAGGCTTGGTGGCTCAGCCTGTAATCCCACGCTTTGGGAGGCTGAGGTGAGTGGATTGCCTGAACCCGCGGGTTCGAGACCCACCTGGTCAACTTGGTGAGACCTCATCTCTACAATAAATCAAAAAGTCAGCCGGGCATGGTAGTGCATGCCTGTAATTCCGGCTCCTTGGAAGGCTGAGGTGGAAGGATCGCCGGAGCCCAGCAGGTGAAGCTGCGGTGACCAGGAGCGGCCACTGCACTCCATTCTGGGCAACAGAGTGAGACTCCAACTCAAAAAAAAAAAAAAGAAAGAAAGAAATTGAGTTGTAGAAGGAAGGATTTGGTGAGGTAACAATAGCAGTGGTAGGAAATGAGAAGTTAGTCTTGAGACATTGCTGAATATGTTACAGCTGGTGGTCATGCGCCTTCTCTAAACGACCAGAGCGCTTCTAGTTTAAAAGCCAGCGGACTCAGATTAGTAGTGATAGGAGTAAACTCCACAGTAAGCCCTGCATCAGGAAAGGGCTGAGCCAGATTATCGCCAAGGACCTATCAGGTTAACTTAGTTTGACTTCAAGTTTTCTAGCCAGCATAAAGAATGTGCATTTTTGTTACTCTTGACTCAAAAAACAAATAATTTTCTGCTAGGATTAGGCTTTGGCTAAAAGAAAGTATTACAATCCTTTGAGCAGAAAGGCAAATAGAGCATTAAAGAGTAGCAGTGACATTTTACAGTAAAGTATGTCTACTAGCATTTTAAAAAAGATTTATGAACATTTTGTCATTGTTTAGATGTCCCTAAAACATATTTAAGTGATGGGCTCTACCTAACCTTTATTTATTGTACCTTATATGGAAATGTTGACCGGTAAATTCTGACTAGATGTGAAATTTCGCCTACAATTATGTAGCATTTACTCTTACATATTTTATACTTAAAATAATCCTGACATGCTTGTTTCCCTTATTTTTAGAGGGAGGGGTGGGAAATGACCATCTACAGAGGTTTGCCAGTCCATGTACACACTCCAATCAGTGGATTGTACACAAGGCTTATGGTACCTTCAGTATTCCTCAGGGAGGCAGGGCTTTCCTTGTTTTGTTTTGTTTTTTTGAATCATAGTCTCACTCAGGTTGGAGTGCAGTGGCATGCTCACAGCCACTGCAGCCTCCACCTGCTGGACAGGCTATTTTTATGCCTCAGCTTTCCAAGTAGCTGGAACTACAGGTGTGTGCCACCCATGGCCGGCTAATTTTTTTAATTATTGTAAAGACTAGATCTCGCCAAATTACCCAACCTGGTCTCAAACCCCTGGGGTCAGGCCTCTGCCTCCCAAAATGCTGGGATTACAGGTGTGAACTACCATGGCCGGCCCTGTCCCAGATTTATGAAAGGGAAAATAAGGTAAAGATCCTGGTATTTCCTTGTGGTTGACCTGCAAGGCACCAGGCAGAGCCAAGAAACATACCTGCAGGTTTTGCCTGCCTCACCAAAATCTCTGGTGGTTCTCTGTGCTATATTTTGACCAGTTTAACATAGAAGTTTTTAACATACCTTGATTTTTATCTCATTGGCAGAACAAGCTAGGAAAAAAAATGGATTCTGCAAAGGAGTTCTGTCAGCATTGCCCAGCAAAACTTTTGGAATTGATGGCAAGTTCTGTAGCTGTGTTGTGTGGTTTGTAGCCACTGGCCGCATGTGGCTGTTTAGTACCTGAAATGTGGTTTATCAGCAGAGATACTATGTTTTATTTCATTATAATTAGCCACATGCAGCTAGTGGCTACTGTGTTGGACAGCACAGTGCAGACAGTAAAATAAATGTCTTATATGAGGTGAAAAAAGCCTTGCAGGATTATGTAAAAGTTTTTTTCCTTAGAAAATCCTTATACACATACCTGGTCCAAAGTAGATATAAACTGGGGTTAATTTTCAGCCAATGAAAGGATTGCTGAGTAGGAGCAAATGTATGTATGTACTGTATTTTTTTTTTAAGTTGAAATCGCACTCTGTTGCCCAGGCTGGAGTGCAGTGGCATGCTCATAGCCACTGCAGCCTCGACCTGCCAGGCTCAAGTGATTCCTCCGCCTCAGCCTTCCAAGTAGCTGGAACCACGGGTGCCTGCCACTACACCTGGCTAATTTTTTTATTTTTTTATTTTTTTGAGTTGGAGTCTCACTCGGTTGCCCAGGCTGGAGTGCAGTGGCCGTTTCCGGCCACCGCAGCCTCGACCTGCTGGGCTCCAGCGATCTTTCCGCCTCAGCCTTCCAAGTAGCCGGAATTACAGGCATACACTACCATGCCCAGCTAATTTTTTTATTTATTGTAGAGATGAGGTCTCGCTGCCCAGGCGGGTCTCGAACCCGTGGGCTCAGGCAATCCACTCACCTCAGCCTCCCAAAGGCGCGGGATTACAGGCTGAGCCACCGAGCCCGGCTAATTTTTTTTTTTTTAATTGTAGAGATGACAAGGTCTTGCCAGGTTGCCCAGGCTGGTCTCGAACTCTTGAGTTTAGGCAATCCTCCGCCTTCCAAAGTACTGGGATTATAGGCATGAGCCACTGCACCCAGCAGTACAGCAGTGCCGTATTTTTAAAGCTCACTTCTTACATGAGAAATTGCATGTTGTGTGTACAAAATTCCTTTTATTCACCAAAACCAAGTTTCGCAACATAAATGATTTCAGAGTCTCATGAGGCCTCTCAACCCTAAAAGCTCCTGAATTCACATGTCAGCTGTTTGAACTACTATGAGCCAAGACTGAGTGAGGACTTAGTGATAAATAAGACATATCTGATTTCTACTGGAGAAGCAAGCCTTAATTCCACTTGCGGTAAGTACTGTGGGGATTACAGGTGTGAGTCACCACACCCATCATTCGTTTTTTCTTATACGATCACTGGCCAGGTGTGGTGGCTCAGGGCTATAATTTATTCCCAGCACTTTGGGAAGTCGAGGTGGGAGGATCACTTGAGACCAGGAATTCCAGACCATCCTGGGCAACATAGTGAGACCTTGTCTCTATAAAAAATTATTGGGTATGGTGTATGTGCCTGTAGCCCTGGGGCTACTTGAAGGCTGAGGAGGTGGGAGGCGAAGGACTAAGGCAGAAAGATCAGCTGAGCCCAGGAGGGCTAGTGTGCCACTGTGCTCCAGCTTCAGGTAGCTGAACTAGAGTGAGACTCTTGATTCAAAAAAAAAAAAAAATAGCTGGGTGCAGTGTTTCACACCTGTAATCTCAGCACTTTGGGAGGCAGAGGCGAGAGGGATTGCCTGGGTAACTTGGTGAGATCTCATCTCTACAATAAATAAAAAAATTAGCTGAGTGTGATGGTGCATGCTTGTAATTTCAGTTACTTGGAAGGCTGAGGTGGAAGGATCGCCTGAGCCCAACAGATTGAGGCTGCGGTGGCCATGAGCATGCCACTGCACT